TTTAATTGTAAATTAAGTATTTAATTTTATGTAATTTATTTAACAATATATTTAATCTTAAGCCCTTAATAAATTATTTAAAATAAATTTAGAGTTCATAGTTTAACAAGGAGTTTTGCACTTAAGCATGCACTCAATTTTTTTAAATAAATTAAGACTTAATGGGTTTGAACCATTAAAACTGTATTTCAAAATCTTTTTAAAGAATTAATATTTGTAACTTAAAATTATATTTAATTTTTAACAATTATATTGATAATTGGTAATTAACTGCAATAAATAATAATTATATTTATCAGAAAAACAAATTAAAAAGCAACTATCTTTAATAACTTTTTTATAGCTCATATTCCTATCTAATTTTAATTATGAATATCATAGTTCCAATTAAGTAATTAAGTACCATGCAGATTACTCTGTATAGATAACCTGTAATTATATAAATGTAATCTAATTTTATGTTAATAACTATAAGATTTAATAACTTTGTTGTCAATCTGAAGAAAGTGATTTAAAAAAACAAACTAATCGTTCTATATAAAAACTATCATTAAAATTAAAAAAGTAATTAAACTATACGGAAAGTTTTATATGATAATGAATCTGATTCCTATGTTAAAAATTATAATACATGATTCATAAGTTATAAATATAAGAGGAAGATAATGCTCCTTGACCAATGGCAAGAAAGTAAGAACCAGAGAAGTTCAATAAATAATGTTTAGGCATTCATCAATGCATCCAAAAATGCTTACTGAATGATCATAAATAAAATGTCAAAAGGTTATCATAAGGTCTTAGGTAAAAACTAGTAATTTTGAAACTGAACTCCAAATAGAACTTAACCATATAGAATTCCAAATTTTATTGACCCAAAAGAAGTAGAGAGGCTATTCTTAAGAATTATACGTGCGATTTTACAATACGCCTTGTACACATCTATTAAGTAAAAATTAAAAATAGGTGGTTTTTAGCGACCTATTGTCTTTATAATTTTTAAGTATATTTATAGAGCGATTATTTCACTCTTCAGAATGGTGACTATGTATTGCTTATATTAAATCAATTTGCAAATAATTTGTATTTTATAGTAAGTTTTTGTAGGTAATTTTGATTTGAATATTTAATGTTAATGAATAATTTTACAATTGAAATCTGTATAAACTTTAAACCGATTTAAGCACATATGACAAACATACGTCAGAAATAAATTATCTATGAATAAAGTAAACCACGGAAATAAAAAATATTCGTTTTGGTTTTTATAAATAATTTCGTTTGGGTGGGAAAATTAAATATTACAATAAAATGTTACTAAGCAGTAAATGAATAATGGATTCTTTTACTCAAAAACAACAGATAACAAAGGTTTATAGAATAGATAAGAGGAATAAGATATAAAAACATATATCTTATAGTATGAATATTCTAAAACTTATTTTTAAGACACGCAGCCATAAACAGGATAGTAGAAATAATATATAAAACCCTAAAATAACACACGTACTGTAACCATAAAGAACAGATGGAACTGTGAATAATTGGTGACCTTTCGATGGAAACTATTCTAAGTGGTTTGGAGAATATGATCAGTTTTGTTTCTCTTAAGTAAAGACTTAGGTGACCTTTCGATGGAAACTTTTCTAAGTCGTTTGGAGAATATGATCAGTTTTGTTTCTCCTAAGTAAAGACTATGAGAGATGCTAATAACTTCCTTAATAAAAACTTATTGGGAAGCAAACAAGAAGTTATGTTTTATTAAAAATCTAAATAAAATTTCTTACTGTTAAAAATTATAATCATAACTTTAATGGTAAAAACTGTAATATTTCAAAAAAAATAAATGGCAACATATAATAATTAAATAATAATTTTAGATTTAAAAATATGTAAGAGCACTGATGTTGAATACTTGGCAATACTCGAAACTGCGCTGTATGCTCAGCCAAATTGAATTGATTAAATAAAATTTTTGTTCTTGTCTTTTGTTTGCTATTCGAGTCCGTCAAATTTTTAAATAGTAATAAAGACGCATCACCCTCCGCAAGAAAAAATTAACATTAATTTTATATATAGTTGGGACAATAATACTTGCTTCTCTATGGTTTAATTGTTCGTTTCGTTTATACTTTTAAATAGTTTTTTTTTACATTAAAGTTCCTATCCATCCATATAACTATTGGATTCATCACTTCTTGTGTTTACTTAAGTTTTCATTTTTCCAATCATTATAGGTAATCTGTAATCTGCTTATATTACTTTGCGATATCGAAGTACATTGCATCTCTTGTTGAATGAATTCAAGATAAAGCATTTATAACTATATTGATAGAAGTTTATTATAATATTAATAATATTTTCGTATACCTATTGGAGGTTTCAATTCTATTTTAATAATTAAATGTTTTCAATTCTATCTGATTTGCAAGTACAAGATTATGTGCAATATAGTAGGTATACGTTATCTCAAACTTGCAAAACAAAACAATAAACCCATGAGATAATGTTTCGGAAATAAGACTAATATAATTTAGTATTAACGGTTAATCTTGCAATAAAAATAATACATATCAGTAGTTTAAAAATAACTAACATTGAAAATTCTGCATCAAAGTCAAATATATGAGTAACACGAAAATTTTAGAGTAAATTTATAATTTAAGAAATAAGAAACAGAAATAAATTCATGTTTTCTACGAAATCTAAAAATATTTAAGAAAAAAATTATAATTTTTTTAAATAATAATTGCGAGAAATTTGAAATTTAACATAAGCCTAAATTATTTTTCACTATAAAACAATTTAAAAATAAACTATTTTACTTATAAGAACTGTTTATAATATTGATTTTTGATACATATATAGATTTTCAATATTTAATCTTATTCTACTGTTATTCTGTTGTTGAAAAATTGGAGAATTTCCATCTGATAGATAGATGTATGATCTCTTCAATTTCGGTTAAGTAGTCTCATTTACTATTCTCACACATCGTATAGTTTGCAAATATTTTTGTTTTATATATATAATCTATATAATGTTCCTTTTACTTTGAAAATATACACTTCAATAAATTTTAAGCATACAAACAAACTTGTATAGTACACAAGTCTACATCGTTATTGTTGCAAATGATTGGTTTCTCTGTGTATAGCTTTTGCATTTGCATTGCTGCTTCGTTTTTTCTTGCATATCTTAAAAGCAACATCTTTTAACTCAAATGTTTACATTATGCAGTTAAGGAGAAAAGAAAAGAAAAGTATAATAAAAAGGACAGTTGTGGTGATGCCAGTAGTAGAATAATAATTTTAGAACAAAATCCTTTTTACTAAAACCTAGTACTAACATTAATTTTGCGCCAAAAATTTGTGTTAAACTCCATGCAAAAAAATATTCACCAAAATATGGTGAATACAAGACTTATCATACAATTTTCTGTTTACAGACTAAATGTAAATATAATACATATGTGTATTTCTACATAAATATTCTGCCAAAATCTGATTAGTATAAACACCTAGTAAGAGTTTATATATGAAAGAAAATGTCTTACTTTAAAATAGAGGTGACATTAAATTTTTTATGATTAGATTAAGTATAGAACGGTTTTTGGAACTAAAGAGATTTGTATACGTACAGAACTACTTATTTTACATTAAATATGGTTCAAATACAATAATAAATAAGTACTTATTATATATATTTATACTTATTTATAAATAAAAGTCTAGCGCTATATAAATCTGACCTTATATTCAATTATATTATTTAAATAGTTATTTCATTTCCTTATAATGACTTAATTTTAAATGTTAAGTTGGGTCTTTATGGTATATTGTTTAAATTTATTTAAAAACCAAAGGGCAGCATTTACTGTTATTATGTGTGAAAAGTCATACTTTCAAAAATTTTTAAATGTATACAATGTATAAACTCAATAAAATATAAACATGCATAGGTACATAGTTTGCACAAAGTTTAGAAACCTTTTTATGAACACTTAAGATATATGTATATATAACTTTTACTGTCGGAAATGTTATAACCTTGAGTTAACCTTCAGTCTTGATCTATTGTGTAACATATTAAAATTGAAAAAATTATATAGATCTTTTATCTACTCTTCTATACAACTAACTCCAAAACTGATATATCCAATACATCATAAATTATCACTACACTAACATCCTCGCATACTATATATTAAATAAGCTTAAGGCCTATATCGCTATAGGTTTATTTTCTTATATAAGTTAATTGCATCTTTTAAGTACAATGTGTAACTTCTGAATAAAAATAAAAAAAAAAGTAAGAAAAAAATATTGTTTAATTAGAGACTTTAGTTTCCACTAAACAGTCACTTAATTTATATTGGCTGGTTTGACTAACTTCCTCTTCTGTTCATCTAGTTTATAAACACAGATTTGTTTTTGAAATCAATCTCACCGTTCCATAAACTAATTTTTCAGGATATTCACCAGATTTATAAAGTTCATCACTTTGTAGTCTTTTTTAGCAGAATGTCTTGATCTGCCTAGATATGGGCGTTTATTAAGAGACTGTGCAATTCATATGCTAGCATATCATTATAACTTGGTAAGTAACTTACACCTCAAGTGGTTAATAAGTTCGTTTTTTGCATAAGTATAGATACTTGTAGTTGTTCTCAGACCTTGAACTATAACTATAGAATACGTTTGCGTTGCATATACATACTTATGTACGTATGCGACTGTAATACGTTTCTTTTTAGGCACATAGGAAACAATAGATCACACGGTCTAACATATTCAATAATAGATAATTTAATTGAAAAACTCATTTTTTTATTTAATTAATTTTAATGGAGATGAGAAAAAGTTATCTCAATTTAGACAACAATTCTTTTATGAATAGAAGAAGAAAAGCACAGTACAAAACAATACAGATAATTAGCGTAAGAAAAAAATATATTCAGTTCACTGATGCAAAAAGCTTTATTAATTTAAGTGTAGGCTTACCTTTATTTCGTTGAGTCTTTTATAATCGTTAAGTTTAAATAATATTCACTATTAAAGTTATATACTTTAATTTATAAAAATATTAAATCAAATAATTAATAGTCCTTTCTTTGGTAATTCGCTGTTTTCTGTTTAAAATTTCTTTTGAATCCACAGAAGTGGAAATGTGAACACAACCGGTTTATTTATTTCACTCGGTTTTCATCCGATTCTCACAACCGCAACCAATGATTTAAACGTCCGAATCGCAAGCGGTGTCTACTTAAACTGCTCGCAAAAGGGAAAAAAAACTTCTAACAAGCCTAATCGACGACAAAAAATATACCGCATGGAACTACGAGAAACGAGCTTTCGAAAAAAACACATTCGTTTTTTGCAGAAAAGAGCAAAACAACAAATGCCGTTTGCATCATCGTGCGATCATTGTTTGCAAATTTTTTTTCGTTCCCCATCGAGTTGAATGGGTTAGAACCCACGATGGTGTACGTGCATTCTAGATTTCTCATATTCGCATATATTACTGCTTTCTCAGCTTCTCTCACTTTTACTCGGGTTTTTACTTTTCTTGATTTTACACAACGACTTAATTAAGTTTCTTAATTTTTTTGTACAAAACTTAATTAAATTAATTTCACAGTTGTTATATCTATAAATTATGTCAGGAATCAGCGTTTTTTTTTACGATTAATTAATTACAATTCAAGTAATGCAAAAACGTGGCACTTTTCCAAATGAGATCATATTATATATAAAAAATTATGAAATAAGTTATTATAACAAACTATTCCAATATCTCATAATTAATAATAAAATTATTTTTTTTAATTCAAATTTAATTACAACCAACATTATAAAGAACTGATGAATTTACATTTACATACAAATGTTGTATTATATATGTGAAACTGTTATTGCATTTCCATACAGTATTTTTTTAACTATTTGTAGACGAGTTTATAGAACTGTCAGGTTGGTTGTCCTTTACCTAATGGGGGAGTTGTTACCTTCGTTCGGAGTTGAATGTATACTGATCTAAATCTATGTACATACCAACGTCATTCCTGTGGTACCACAATAGGTCATCATTTGAGCTCAAGTGCGCTTTTTTGGGACACAACGACGCCACTCCAACCTACCTACCTACCTACCTATTTGTTGACGGGTGAGTAGATTTTAAGAGAAAAATATGATTAATAAAATTAAAAGAATTTCATTAAATAATTCTTAATACAATTTATTTAACTCCAATCTGTAGGTTTATACTACCAAATATAAAACAAAAAAAAAATTCTTCCCTCCATAAACCCTTCTTTCTACATCCAAAAAGAAAAAAAAATAAATAAATCAAGGTACTTAAGCCATAATCATACTGCCATCCTAGCTCCTAACTATAATGCCCTTCATTATTTTTCAAATCAGTAGGCTTAAGGTCAAGTAGCCATAGCTTCTATAAATTTAAGTTAGATATAATTTATAATTACGTTACAACTTTGTTAATAAATAAATAAATAAACAATTTATTTAAATGTTGGAAATGAAAAAATGTATACTTATTTATTATTCAAAGTTAAAATGATTAAACTTAATACTGGGTAGATTCTCTCCTTGATTTTAGGCGGCTTGGCGTGTTTTCGGTTTCTTCTTTCAAAGTTCTCTTACAAATGTGCGATCATATTTATATCTTGAGATTATAGAATTTGAAGGTGTAGTTATGGGATATGATCCCATATTTCTCCTTTAATTTACAGTCACACGTCATGAGCGTTGTATTTGGGGTCGTTGACCTGTTGAAAGTAAAACGAACTTCTTAAAGTTAATCCATTCGCACTTTTTGGTAAGTTTTCTTGATTCCATAGATAAGCATCAAAGCCACAAAATAGCTCTACACTATAACACTTCTCCCTCGCTTTATTTGAACGTGATTATCACATGAAGTTTAAATTTACTTTCATCTGAAAATAACTCTTTCTGCTAGAAGTTAACATATTTATTTTAAAACTCCTTAACGAACTCTAACCGTCTCTAACTGTATTAATTATAGGATTCCCAGACGCAAACCTAATTGTTTTCTTTGAAATATGTAACTGTGTGTGTATGCTTGTATATCGATATATTTTCGATAATTTTAAGATGATTATTCTATTACATATTATAACATATTATTCTTACATATAAATCTTAAATATCGTCCATTTCTGATAGTTACACTGGCAATGTTATTTATACATAATATAGATTTGTATTTCGGGTTTTTACAAATAGAAAATATATAGATAGTTCTCTTATAAGAAAGTACCATTATCTCTTCCAATGTTTTTAGAGGAATTTTACGTTGTTTATTTGGAATAAAAAAATCATTTTTATACACGTAAGCATAACATGCAACCGACTTACGTATGTGAAGATAATGTAATGAAAAATTGTTTATTTTAGCTCTTAATAAACAATGAGAAGAAAAAATTTGTTTAAAAAAACAAAAAATATTAAATATTTTCAATTATTTGAATGAGTCAAATTTTTCGTAAGAATATATAAACAATTTAACTTTATATGAATATGTATGTACATACATTTTTACAAGCATATACATACGTACATATACAAAAGTCTATTAATTTGAATTATAAAATTAAATTTAGAAAAAAGTGTAAATTTAATATTTAATACACGTAAAACCAATTTTCACTATTAAACAATTTCATTAATGGGACAGTTCGGAACTAAAATTGCCTATAAAATAGTTAAAATAATTAACAGTAATTGTTTTAACATCCTTAATGGTTAAATTAAATGGTTAAATGAAAATTTAAATGAATTACAAAAACAAAATAAAATAGTGCACAAGTAAACAACTCGACAACTGCCTTGCCAACTTTGCAAGTAAACAGACAATTATATAAACATTATATACATAAACAATATAACTTAATAAACAATAAATAATAAACAATAAAACATTTTATAAAATTTGATGTTTATGTTTTTTTTTTTGTTTTAATTATAATATTTTTATTACAGTAATACTACTTCTTAAAAAGTTTTAATAATGGTTACACTATGTAGTCTAAAATATTTACCTACAAACTAGTTTTATATAGATTAGTGCTTATGTATGTTATCATCCTATGACTAACCTTCTGCTCAAAAAGGATTTTGTTGTTTTTTAACTACTCCTTAAGTAATAGACCTTTTTCAAAAAAAAATTTTTTTTTGTTATGTTGGTACACCCTTTCTTGACATATGGTACAAATTTGAGCGCCATCTGTCAATTAGTTTGTTTAGAGCAGCTGTTAATGTGAGACTACCTCAAGTGCATTTAGTGATTTTTACTATGGAAAATTGTTGTTGTACGCGATTTTTTGACCAAACACGGCACCACTGTCATCGCTCAGGGACCATATTCGCCAGATCTGGATCCGTGCGACTTTTTTCTGTTCCCGAAACTCAAATTGCCCCTTCGTGGTAAGCGTTTTAAGTCGATTGAATCGGTAAAAGAGAATTCGCTAAAGGAACTAAAAGCCATACCTTCGCGGGCCTACAAAAAGTGTATGGAAGATTGGGTTAAGCGTTGACATATGTGTATCGTTCAGAAGGAGCGAAGGAGTGAAGGAGATAAAATAAATTTGGAATAAAATTTATTTCTGTGTGTTTTATTTACAAAATCCCAGTATTTTTTGAGCAGAAGGTACATATTCATCAATCATCTCATATAAATTGAGAGAAGAAAAGACGCCAAAATACTTATACTTACATATATGGGTAAGTATATAGCACAATGTCGGCTTAAATTAAAAGATGGCGAAAATGTACTTACACGTAAGGGTTGATATATAATCGTAACATTATGGATTTCTTGTATTTAAAAACATTTAATATTTTTAAAAATATATCAAAAAGCAAAACATCTTTGATAAATGAACTTAACACCTTTTCATTCATCACCATCATTATTCATAACGATATAGTCCATATAAGACATAAGCTTGTTTTACAACATTTCTCCATTTTTGGTTTTTATCTTCCAGTTGTTAACGTTCATAAGTCTCAGATCATATCGTACACTGTCACTCCATCTATTTCTTGGTCTTCCTTTTCTACTCGCTGTTCTAACTACACTCTAAACGATTCTAGCTGTAGGTCTTTCTTCTGGCATCCGCACAACGTGTCACTCTTCATACTAAGATGACGATATAACCCACATACAAGTACAAGTATTTTAGTTTTAGAAAATACAACAAAAAACAACATGTAAAAACCGGTTTTAAAATAACCGGTTTAACCGGTTAAAATAATAATCAAATTAATCGATTCATTTATACTTCTTTACAAATTTGAAATCTTAATAAAAAGTAAATAAAAAATAATAAATTTAATGAAATAAACTTTTTTGCGTTTTAAACAAAACAAACCGTTTATCTTAGGCATTATCTTTATGCAAAAGCCTTAAATAGAATTGAACTTTAAAATTGTTTAGATTTGATTAAAAATACAGGCAGTTGAGAGCAATAAAAAAAAGAATTAAACAAAAAGTTCTGGATTATACTGAAATCAGCTTAAGTTATCTTATAAACAAAAATTCCTTTGAAAAAATTCAAAAGATATTTTTCAAGGTTAATCCAAATGGGGAAAGAGTTCTAACTAATATTGTTGTTGTTCGAGTCCATGTTCTTTATTCTTATTAGGGTCTGTTATGGGTTGCTTATGTTTATTATGAGTTGGTAACTAGAGCTCCTCTACTGAATCGTTGAGTGAACTTAATATTTCAGTCCTCTGTTGACATGGTAGTAAATTAATATTGTGTGAATGCCCGCATAACTACCACTTGTGACGGTTATTGTATTCATCAGAGGATATAGAGAGGATAGTGTTTGGATTGGAGTCGATGGCACAGAACAATTTCAATATTCGTTTAAGTATGATGCTAAGGTCTCGATACGGAGATCTATAGCGTTTTCATATTTTCCAGTTTTTAGAATGGGCATAACTGAAAGGCCAAGTGTCGTTTTAGAAGCGTTGAAAGCCATCCAATATCGGTCTCACTATTAAAGCATAAATGGATAGTTTATTTCTTATGTTAAGCTTGCGATAATTCATAAGGTAGAGGGGGTATTTAAGCGTATTCTAAGCGTAAGCGTTTTTGATATATAGTCTTGGTGGGTGTTGATTCTGTTCCCTAATGATGATGATCGCTAGGAAACAAGCCTGAGGTTGTTCAATGCGTATATGTCTTCATTCTTTGTCTTCAAGATTCTGTTTTCTAGCCA